CAGAAGAGAGAAATGGGGCGGGGGGGGGAGGAGAAGCTAGACTTTTACTTCCCACTTTGTGCTGGTCAGCGATAGTACAGCAAGTAAGGTACGCTGTCTCACACAGCCAAGCCGGACACCATCTCCCAAACCTCACCTGGTCCCCTGCCCCCCCACCCTTTACCAGCCAAGACCTGGGTGATCCCTGAGCATAAAACCAGGAGTAAGCCCTGAGCACTGCCAGATTTGCCCCTGCCCCCTCACCCCGGCCAAAGAATGCCTTGAATGAATGACCTGGGGCTCAGTTCAAGAGAGAGGGGTTAAACCTGTAGGGATGGGGACCCCACACCTCAGCTTCAACAATGCCACCACCGGCCACCCTGTCACAGGCTCCTTGTGATGCCAGCGTTTGGCACGTCCTTCCATCTGACCATCTGGACTGCTTCCTCTTTCCCTAGGCTGTTGGGGATGGATCTCTGCCTTCTCTCCTGACACCTGTGGGTGCTACCTGCTGTGCTCAGGGCCACTGCAGGCTGTTAGACAGCGTGCAGAAAAGCCTCTCTGCCAGTGTCCTGGGCACAACAGCCTGGAGATATGAGGCAGGAGCAAGAGCAGAAACCTGGACTGAGGGAATCCTGCCGGTCACAGAACATGCACAGGGCTTTGGGAGGTGCCACGGGGTGGGCAACCTCTCTACCTCCAGGCGGCCAGGGGAAAGGAAAAAGGTCCCAAAAAGGGATTTTCTCCCCACAAGTGGCTGAGTGCTTTGGAGGCTGCTTTCCCCCGTGCAGAAGGAGCGCAGATTGGGTCTTACCCCCTTATGTCTCTCTATTTCTCTCTCTCTCTCTCTCTCTCTCTCTCTCTCTCTCTCTCTCTCTCTCTCTCTCTCTCTCTCTCTCTCTCTCTCTCCTGCCCCCTTCCTCACCCCCTTTTAAGGGCTGAGGACTTCAGAGTTATTTCTTCATCTGTAAAATGGCTTGGCCAAGCCATTTTACAGATCCAACAAGAGTATGGGTTAAAGGGCTTAGCGGGGAGCATGGCACCCTCAGCTCACGTGCTTCTCTTGGGCAAGGACCTCCGTGCCTGGAGCAGAACTGCAAACCCGCTGTCAGCGGTGGCTGCCTTCCAACCAAAGCAGTCCGTGAGCGACCTGGGTAAGCTCCGAAGCACCGTGGCCTCCAAGAAGATACCCGAGAGTCGGGTGTCTGGCTGGAGGCATTGGTCAGCAAGCCTCCTTAGACCTTCTGGGGGACGCAGGGGGCGTCCACCTTCCCCAGGATAACTGATGGCTCAGCGGAAAGACCATTACCGTATTCCTCCAACTACACGTTCCCCGACGCAAGTCCCATCTTTGATCACAGCGAGCGGCCAGAGCTGCTGGAGGAGTGTGTGTGTGTGTGTGTGTGTGTGTGTGTGTGTGTGTGTGTGTGTGTGTGCGCGCGCGCGCCTCTGTGTATGTGTGCGTGCGCGTTCGCGTGTGTGCGCGCGTGTGTGTGTTTGGATGTGTGTGTGTGTGTGTGTGTGTGTGTGTGTGTGTGTGTGTGTGTAACTGACCAGGCCCCAACAGCCACCCGCCCAGCCTGGGCCATCCTCAGAGGCGATCGCAGAGGGCTTGTCACTTTACAACCCTGGCATCACGCTGCAGAAAGGGTCCCCGCGGACTTCTGGGCACCCCCATCCGGTCCAGCAGGGTCCAGCAGCGGCCGGCGGGGCAGCGCCGGGGCCAGGGTCCGGCGCTTTGCGGTGCGCGTCAGAGGCCGGCCACTGGGCCAGCAGGGAGCGGCGCTGCAGAGAGGGTCTCCCCGGCGGCCAGGGCACGGGCTCCCGCGGCCGGCGGGGCGGCGCGGGCGCGCGCGCGCGCGCGCGCGGCGGCGGGGCGGGGCCGGGGCGGGGCGGGGCGCGTGACGCGCGGCGCGGGCCAATGGGGCGCGCGGCCCGGGCCGAGCCTCCTGCGAGCCTTCGCGGCGCCCGCGGCGTCACGTGAGCGCCGGGGGACTGAGCGCCCGGGAGCGGCGGCCGGCGGGAGCCTCGGCCGCAGCGACCCTCGGGCCCGCGGGCGAGCAGCGCACGCAGGAGCCGCGGCTCGGCCCGCGGCGGCCGCCGGACCCGCAGCGAGGCCGCCGCCCGCCGCCCGCCCCGCTGGGCCTCGGGACCGAGCGCCGGGGCCCGGCCGTCGGCCCGGCGTGCGCCAAGTTCAGGTGGGAGCGGCGCGCCGAGGCCCGACAGCCGCGTGGACGCGGTGTCCCGGCCGTCCCGGGCGGGGGGTGGCCGAGCGGGACGAGCCGGGGGCGGCGTTGCGGGTCGGGGGAGGGGGGAGGCGCTGGCGCGAGTGTCCGAGGAAACGGCGGAGGGGCGGAGTGAGTGGGATCGCGGGGTCGCGGGGTCGTGGGCGGGACCCCGCGGGGAAGAGGACCCCCCCCCCAGGTGTGCCCCGGCACTGGTGCCCGGCAGATGCGGTCTGCCTCCGGGCCGCCTGGCCCGCTGGCCGGTGCGCGCTGGCCGGCCGGCCCTCCCATATGGCGGCCCCGCGGCCCTGGGCAGAGGAGCTGGCCGGGACGCGCCGGCCGGCCCGGGGCCACCGGGCAGCGGGGGGGAGCTGGGGGGGTGGACGCGGGGTTACTGTCGGCCACCGGCCGCGGCCTCGCGGAGGGGGGCACAGGCCGAGGAGGGCAAGGTGCCCGGCGGGCAGCGCTCCCGGATCTCCGGACCTTCCTCTCCCGTGCACGCTCCCAGCACCCCCGCGGGCGTCCACGCGGCCCCACGCGCGAGGACGTGGCGGACACCCGCCCGCACCCGCCACCCCGCGGCTCCGCGCACCACGCCCCGCACACGGGCAGGAACAGCCAGCGCCTTCGCGCACCTTCCAGGCTCTGGATTCCTCGCGCGTTCCCCTCGCGCGCGCGAAGCGTCCCCCTCCCGCAGATGGCCCAGGAGTGGCAGCGCATGCCGCGGGGGGGTGGGGTGGGAGGGACGGCTAGTAGAGGAGTGACCACCTGGAACCTCTGCCCTGTCCGTCGGGTGCCCTCGAAGCTCCCCACTGGGGTGTTCCCCCACCCGGAGTGCACGGAAGGGACCGTTTTCTCGCTCAGCTCCCGAGGGAAGGGGTGACACCCCCCATACAACGTACGAGCCCCTTCACACACCTCCCCTCGGCCCCTCAAGGTCCCCGGTGGCACCCGGGGAAGCCCGTGTCACCCTACAGGTGCTAGGACGCGGAGCTTGGTGACTTTGGGGCCTGCCGGCCGCCGCCGAGGACGGGCGCGGGTGCGCGGGTGCGCGCTAGGGTGCGCGCGCGCGCGGGGAGCGGAGACTCTTATTTTGAAGGGCGCCCCCCGTCCGCCACCCCCCGTGATTTGCACGCTGACCCAATGGCGAGCCCTTGGCCAGAGCTCGGCTTGTTATCAATTACATGTTGTTCCTGCAGCCGCTGTGTCCCCGGGAGGATAAACAGCAGGCCTGGCCGGGGCCGGGGGGAGGGGGCGGAGTCCGGCCGCGGGCCCGGGACGGTGCCCGCCCGGAACAGCGTGTCCCCTCCCCCTGCACGCTGCCCGTGCCGCTGCTCCCGGAGCAGGACTGGTGGCCGCGTTTCGGAGGCCCCAGAACCGTGCCCTCTCTCCAAAAGCAGCGACCTAGGGGTCCCAGAGTCCCCATGGAGAATGCAGCCCCTTCTGTCTCCTTCTCTCTTCTCTGCCATCCAACCCTCCTCTTTACTCTTCCCTCTGCCTTCGGTTCCTTCCACCTTTCACTACATCAGCAAAGCCTGCAGTTCCCAGTTAGGGCACAAGGATGGAAGAGTCCCAACAGCTGACAGAAAATTCGGCCCCCCCAATACCGAACCCAGATGACTTGGGAAGAAGATAATATGGGGTGAGGTAATAGGGGTGGGTCCGGGGTGACATCTGAACTGGCAGAAAGATAAAGTTGCTGGTTTCCCCTCGAGAGTTCTGGGGGCAGAGGGAACTGCAGAGGGAATGAGCCAGGCAGAGGCCCACAGAACCCAGGAGCTGGGTGCCCAACTGGTCAGGGGCTCTAGCAGATGGGGAAGGCAGCCGGGAGCTGGGGACCCCCCTTGCTACTGGCCGCAAACCTGCCACACTGCACTCTTTGCTCCTCTGCTCTTTGTATGTCTTTCCGTCTGTGGCTCTGTCCGTTTTTCTCTGTAAGATCAAGTGGCCCAGTCACCACATTCACCACACTCACACGCACCAGCCCACACTCCTTAGTGAAACGGAATATTCAGTTGGCGATTATGTTTTGGCACGAGCTTTAAGCCGGCAGAGCTGGGGCCCCACCTGTCCCATGCTGCTAGTTTTGGCCTGTTCCTGGGTGTCTAGAAGGTGTTGCTTCCTGAGCATCACAGCAAAGGGCCTGCAAGAAACCCCCCTAACCCCCACCATGGAGCTACAAGGCAGGTCCCCATAGTGAAGGCTCAGCATGTGTTAGCTCACTGGGCTCTTAAAGCAGCCTGGGACCCTGGACACTGTTGGCAGTACCCCCTGCAGACTGTCAGAGGCCCTGCCCAGGGCAAGAGCACAGTCCCCTGCAATGCAGGGGGCAGGGGACAAGTCTCAGCGTCCCCACCCCCAGCCTTATAGATCTTCCCCTTTTCTTCCCTTCCTTCCCAGCACCTGATCTGCTCTCCACTGTGCATTTTGAAACTCCTTGTTTTAAATCCGTAGCTGAGTATTTAAGGGCCAAAAAGCTGAGTGTCCACCTGGCAAAACTACCCTGGCACTGTCCGACCCTGAGATCCCATCTGCCTCAGCTTCCCCAGGAGCTCTGGGAGGCTTTCTAGATGGGGGAGGGCAGGAATGGTACTGAGCTCGAGGGTTCCCGGGGCATCTCAGAGGGAAGAGAGGCCTGGAGATCTTTAAGGCACCCTGCAGGGAGGGAGATGGATTTGGGAACCGCTAGGACTTGCCCAAGGTCACTACTGATGATGGCTCGGCCCAGGCACGGTCCTGGAGGCCGAGGGGGTGGGGGCACAGAGGGGTTGGCCGGCCGGAGAGAAGCTCTGGCCTCATCTGTGGAACACTCTGCTTCCCCAGCCCCAGTAAACACCAGGCTGTGGTCACTGGGTAGGGACAAAGGTCCCAGGAGGTGGCCCTGTCACAGTCAGGCACTGCTGACTCTGGGACGCAGGACCTGGACCTGGCGTGGCCTTGGGAGGATGTCTCTTCCCCTGGGCTCCCCTTCGATGCGTTCGGAGCCCGACCCCGGGGGGCACAGCCGAGACCTTGAAGTGCAGCTTGCCTGCGCGGAACACCCCCGTTAGTAGGAGCCGGGAGCTGGTAGAGTCTGCCTGCGGCGGTGAGTGTCCCCCCCACCCCCCACCCAGGGGACATCAGCCCTGGGTGCAGGCCTGGGGGCTGCCCTCCAGACCCCCCTGGTGGTGGTGAAGGCAGATGCGGACCCTGGGACCCTCCGGCATGGCTGTTGGTTGTCACTGCGGGTGGGATATGGTCTGTCCCTCTGCCAGCTGAGTTCCAGCCTGCCTGCAACCCCCCAGCTCACAGACCAGGCAGTCGAGACCAGGGGTTCTGGGAGGCCAAGGATGGTGACCTGCACCTGCCTTTCTGGGGAAGCAGAGCCTGTGGGGGTGGGGGCGGGGGGGGGTGTTGGAGGCACCTATGGATCCTTTGCAAACTCAGCTGGTCAGATGGAAAGATTGGTGATCCAGCAAAGAGCATTCGCAGTAAGAGCACAGACACACAGGAGAATGTCGGTTCGTGTTTTTCCAAAGAAAACCTGAATTTCCAATGGAACTGGGTAGCCTGTGGCTTTATTTGCTCAGTCGGGCAGGCCTCCCTGTGCCCGGACAGCTGAGGGGGTCAGAGGCCACCTGGGCTCTCCTCCCCCACTCCCTTCTGTGACTCGGCAGGATGGGCACTGGGAGGCTCAGCGTGGCCCCAAAGTCACTGACGCCCTGTGAGCTGGGAGACCTTGGTCGTGCCCTCATGCAGAGTTCCGTCTGCTCGCTCTCTCCTCCCCACTCTCATCTCCCTCGCTCTCGCTTGCTCGCACCCACGGACACTCGCATCCGTGCACGCATGGTTCCTTCCCAGCCTCTCTCTCTCTGGAAAATCTGCTGGGAACCAGAAGTGCCCTGGGTTGTGCAATGGGTTTGGAGAGGGTTCTTTGGCAAACAGGTGGTGCAATTTCAGAAAATGCTCTTGCAGGCAGCGTTCTCCCGTGGGAAGGGGATGGAGGCAGGATCCAGGCCTTTGGCCCTGGGTGGCGGGCAGACAGTGGTGGGGGGCGGGGGTCACGGAGGACATGGGGGGCACGCCGCCCTTCTGACCAGGCCTCCTTTGTTCCTCTCCGCAGACGCCACTGGCACGGCCAGGCCAGCATGGTGGACCACTTGCTGCCAGTGGACGAGACCTTCTCGTCGCCGAAATGCCCCGTGCGGTATCTAGGCGACAGGCTGGCGGGCGGGCGGGCGTACCACATGCTGCCCTCGCCGCTCTCGGAGGACGACAGCGACGCCTCCAGCCTCTGCTCCTGTGCCAGCCCCGACTCCCAGGCCCTCTGCTCCTGCTACAGCAACGGCCTGGGCTCCGAGGGCCAGGACAGCATCTTGGACTTCCTGCTGTCCCAGGCCACACTGGGCAGCGGCGGCGGCGGTGGCAGCCTGGGTGCCGGTGGCGGCCCCGTGGCCTGGGGGCCCTGGCGGAGAGCGCCTGCGCCCGTGAAGGGGGAACACTTTTGCTTCCCCGAATTTCCCGTGGGGGACCCCGATGAGGTCCCGCGGCCCTTCCAGCCTACCCTGGAGGAGATCGAAGAGTTTCTGGAGGAGAACATGGAGCAGCCGGGGGCCAAGAAGGTTCCAGAGAGTCACCTGAAGGACCTGGAGACATGTGGGCAGCAGGCAGCCGGGCCTCACCGGAGCCTCCTGCACCCGGGCTCTGGGGGGAGAGAACGCGGGGCTCTGCCTTCGGGGGCCAACAGCAGCGCGGGGGGCAGCCAGAGCCCCGGGGGCGGGGCGGCCCCCGAGGGCCCCATCCCGGTGCTGCTGCAGATCCAGCCAGTGCAGGTGAAGCAGGAGCCTGGCCCCGAGCCCGTGTCCCCTGGGCAGGCCCCGGAGAGCATCAAGGTGGCGCAGCTCCTGGTCAACATCCAGGGCCAGACCTTCGCGCTGGTGCCCCAGGTGGTGCCCTCCTCCAACCTGAACCTGCCCTCCAAGTTCGTGCGCATCGCCCCCGTGCCCATCGCTGCCAAGCCCCTGGGGGCGGGACCTTTGGGGCCTGGCCCCGCCGGCCTCCTCATGGGACAGAAGTTCCCCAAGAACCCGGCGGCGGAACTCATCAAAATGCACAAATGTACTTTCCCCGGCTGCAGCAAGATGTACACCAAAAGCAGTCACCTCAAGGCCCACCTGCGCCGGCACACAGGCGAGAAGCCGTTCGCCTGCACCTGGCCAGGGTGCGGCTGGAGGTCAGTATGGAGGGGGGCCCGCGGGGCTGGGTGGCCATCCCGCGCCCGGGGTTCCAGCTCCAGAGAAGGCCCAGGAAGGAGGAAGGGGAGCGGGGTCCTGCGTGGGGGGGCACGGCTGCCCAGAGGCCCCCTCGTGCCTCCCACTGTTAACACCGGACACCAACCAGTGTGCGGCTGCCCCGTGGCCTGGTCAGGCCGGGGGGGCAGGACAGCAGGGAGGGGGTCCAAGAGCAGGCTTAGGGGGTTGGGGAGGGGCCTTCCTCAGGCCTCCCCGGCCCCCAGGGTAAGTACCACCTGACGCCAGGCCTGGCGGGAACCAGAATTCGAGGCTCAGGCCAGCCTAGCTGCTTGCCCGGTCACACGGCTCAGCCAGCACGATCTGCATCCAAAGGGAAGGATCAGAGAAGTTCCCTCCCCACCTGAGGCAACAGCTTCCGGGCGGAACCCCCATCCAGTGCCCCCCCCACCCCCTCAAGATGTGTCTGGCAGCCCCAACCCCGAGGAGGACCTGATGGTAGCGGGAAGAGTTCTCTCGGACCCCGTGGGGCCTGGCTGGGAGGCGAGCTGGCCCTGGGCAGGGACCAGGCTGGGTCTGGACTCCTTGAATGGTCCCTGCCCGCCTGGTTCCGGAGGAAGAGCCCATCTCTAGCTGGGTTTACGCTGGGGGTGGATGGCTGCATTGCTAGAGCCCCTTGAACATGCGTGTGTGCATGCATACATGCGTGCATGTGTGCGTATATGCACACATGTGCGTGCGTACATGCGTGCGTGCGTACATGCGAGTGTGCGTGCGTACATGCGTGTGTGCGTGCTTGTGTGCGTGTGCACATCTTCCCTGACTTGACCGCGAGGCTCTGTGGACAGCCACAGCCGCCCCTCGGCAGATGCGCAAGTGCGCAGGCGCATGGCTCACTGCGCCCGTGTGCTCCCGCTGGCCTCCCATACGTCTGTGTCGGGGTCACACGTGCGTGCGTCCGGGCACCGTGTATCTCTTGTGCAGTGCAGTGTAAGTGTCCTGGGGACACGTTTGCAGCCTTCCCTCGCTTCGTTCTTGCTGTGGTCACTGGTGAGTGCTGAGTGGAGGTGGGGGCTGCTGTGTGGCCAGAGCCCTGGGGTGGGGTGTGTGTGGGGGTGATGGGGGACAATGCTAGGATGGAAGGACATGCTTATGGGGGCGAGGACAGGGAGCTGGCCAGAGAAGGAACGTTCCCAAGCAGAGAAGGGTGATGGAGACCCTTTCTGAACTAGGGGTCCCCAACCTGAAGGTGCCCATCAAGCCCCTCAGGCTGGGAGCCGGGCTCAGCCCCGAGGCTTGGGGTTCCTCTGAGCCTCACGCCCCCCCCCCCCCCCCCCCCGCATATTGCTTGCATGGCCAGCCTCTCCCTGCAAGGGTTGGCATGTCACTCTCAGATGGGCCTCTCAGAGTGTCTTGCCTTCCCATCATGCAGGGGGCATCTCATCTCAGCCAACTCCCCCAGACTTCCTTTGGATCCCTCTCATGGGGGAGTGAGAAGAGCCGAGATTGGGAGCTGGCTTGGCAAAGCCCCAGCAAAACGCCCTTCCCTCCGCAAGTCATGGTGAAGGGAGGTGGGGTCCCAGGGCGGGGGAAGGGAGCCCCAGGAGGAGGGGCCTCGCAGGGGGCCTGGAGAGGAAGGTGGTCAAGCAAGAGTGAGACTCAAGGGGTTCAGCTCCGCGACCATCTGAGCCCTGGCCGAACCCCCTCAGTAAGGGGGACGCAGCCGGGAAGCTCCCCTTCAACCCCCAGTGCCCAGGAGAGCTGCCAAGGGGGGACAAAAGCCCAGTACCCCTTAACCATAGGCAGAGGGCCAGGGGAACTCTTGTAACTTGCCAGTAGGGGACAGGCACAGCTCGGGGGCAGCCTGGTCTGGGCAGGTCGGGAGGAGTGGTGATGGTGAGAGAATTCCCTGTCTCCCCTCCAGCGATCACCCTTCAGTGTAAGACTCCGGTGAGTCATGGCATACCTCCTGCCATGGGGTACTCATGACCTCCCGGGGCTTCCCTGCCTGCTCCCCGAGTGCAGGAGTGTTCCTGGCTGTGTGTTTCCGGCCGGCAGGCAGGATCCGCTCCCAGCCACCCCCCGGCACCAGCCGCCCTGCTGTCTCCCTTCCCCAGCGGCCATCGCCGGCCCGGTCAGCTTCTCCACTTTGCAGCTCACCTGCTTTCTGCCTCACCGCAAGTCCCCTGGAGAGCCTGCCCTCCGCCCCACCCCACCCCACATGCATTTTACACGGGGGGAAACTGAGGCCAAGATGCTCATGTCACGTGTCCACAGGGACCGTGTGGCTCTCCCCCACCCCGTGGCTTGAGCACCTCCTCTGTGCCTCTGCACCCCTCCTCTGACGCTCAGCTAGACCCTTTGCTGGGGGGGGGCGCTCCTGCTTTCTTCAGACCCTGCTCCGAGCCCCCCAACAACCACCCACCCCCCGGGGCCATTAGTATGTAGTTCCCACCTTTTTCTTTTTCTTTACTTTTCGACTATACCCACTGATGCTCAGGCCTTGCTCCTGGCTCTGTGCTCAGGAATCACTCCTGGAGGGCTCAGGGGACCCTGTGGGATGCCGGGGGGGGTGGGGGTTGTTGAACCTGGGTTAGCCACACGCAAGGCAAGCGCCCTTCCCACTGTACTATTGCTCTGGATCCCAGGACATGGTCCCTTTTACGGAGGAAGAAGTTGGGGTCCAGACCAGCCAAGTTTTCCAAGTTAGAAAGCAGCAGAGAAATGGCCCAACCCGGGACCCCACCCCACCCAGGTCAGGACCCCTCCCCGGACCTCTCTGCTTAGTGTGCATGTCGGGGGCTGCTTGAGTGTGGTGTGTGTGTGTGTGGGGGGGGTCCTCCACCGCCACCTGGGGGCTGTACCCTGCATGCTGGCCTCACTGTTTGGGGTACTCTCTGCTTCTCAGCTTTCTGGGAAGCCTCTTCACTTCCCAGGGGTCCTGGTGAGTGGTTTTCTCACCCTCCTTGCTGGGCTCGGAGTGCTAATCCTCCTCCCCTCCGTGCACTTTGGTGCACGCCAGACACTCCCCCTCTCCACCGCCACCCCAAACCGGTTTCTTTGCTTTATTCCTATGAGGTGGTCCAGGTAACCCGAACAGAGCTGAGACCCCCCCCCCCCCCTGTCCTGCTCGGCCCGGAGCCTCTGGGAAGTGGCTGCTCACCGCCTTCCTGGAAGTTTCTCCACTTCCTTCTCACACACAGGCCTCCTTTGTTCCCCGCAGCGGGACGTCCTGTTCTGGAGGGGCCATTCTGTCCAGAGCGAGCCTCTCCTTGCTGGGCTGAATCGGGCTGTGAGCACCTGTCTGGGGGCATGGTCCTTGCGGAGGACTTGGGGGTGGAGGGTCCAGCACTGGGGAGCAGGACAGGGACTCCCGCCCAGGGGCCTGCTATCACCAGCTCTCTGGGCCCCAGTGTCGCTGCTGGCCCACTCCTACCCTGTCCAATGGGCCAACAGTGCTGCCAGCTGCGGTGGGGCAGATGGCGCATGGCACACCTCCAGGGGGCGCCCTTCCCGTGTCTTGGGGATGTGACTCTTTCTGACAGGTGGAAGGAGCGTCTTTGTGCCAAGGTGATGGGCGTGCCAAGAGTTGTGCCAAGTGGGGGGTTGGCTGGACCCCTGGACTTTCCCGCCCTCTCCGTCAGGAGCGGACCCTGTGGTCAGGACACCCCCCCCCCCCCCCCCCCGCCAATCCCCACACCCAGGGCCTGGCCTGTACTCTGGACCTTACTGGGAACAGCTCACATTTGTCAGAGGGGCACTTATGCCTCTTGTCTCCGCAGAGCCCCCCTGAGGCAGAGCCATCATGAACCCCGTCTCCGCCAGGGAAACTGAGGCCTGGAGAGCAGGCTGCTGGCCCCGGGGTCCCTGTGAGTAGGTGGGCGAGCTCACGGCCTGCACATGCAGTGCCTTAGCCCCTCACCCTACAGTGCCCTGCCTCGCTGCTGGCTGCTCTTCAGGGGATTGGATGAGGGTGTGTGTGGGGGGCAGCGGGGACCCTCTATCACAGGATACTGGTGGCCGGGAGGAGGATCATGAGTATGAGGGGGGCACAGGGCCTGGCTCTCCCTGGTGGCCTGAGCCCTTGTCTCTGGCCACTGAAACAGCTGTAAGGTGGCGTCCACTGAGCAGAGGATTCTCCGTCCCACAGTCCTGCAGGGGTGGGGCCCCGAGCAGAGCCCCCAGAAGCCACTCGAGCTCCTGCTGGCACAGGGTTTGTGCTGCTCCTGTAACCCTGGCTGGGAGGGGGCCAGGGACCTTGGTGCTGGCCCTCTGCTGGCCTCTGCACTGGGCACCTGTCCCCAGGAGTCCTGGCCTGGCGGGGTCAGGCCCGAACTCTGGCAGCAGGACACTGTACAGGGCCCTCCTCACTGGTGCATGCTGCTGACCAGTTCTGGGGTGTGGGGAGGAGGGAGAGGAGGAAGAGGAGGAGGAGGAGGCAGAGGAAGAGGAGGAGGAGGAAGGGTCAGTGACCCCTGGGCAGGGCAGGGATGGGAGGATGGAGACCTTTGTTCTGACTCTTGGCTGGGAGGAGGCCAGAATCCCCTGGGTCAGATTCCCTTTTTCCTGAGCCTCAGTTCCCTCCCCCCACCCCCCACCCCCCCCCACCCCCCTGCCAATGGGCGGGCCGGGGCCTCCCCCAGTCCACAGATAGGCAGAGAGCCCTGCCCAGTGCTGGCCTCCCCTCCCGGGATGAGGGTATGTGAGAGGCACCCTGCCCCCACCCCCATCCAGCCTCAGGTCACACTCAGGCCCTGCTCTGCTGCCCTCAGTGTCCCCCAAGCTTGTTCTGCTGGGCCCCGTGCCCAGGGCGGTGAGGTCAGCTGGAAGGGGTCAGCCCCGCGGCCCCCACACTTCCTTCGTCTGGCTGTTTGGTCATGAGGAAGGCCTGTGTCACACCTACGCTTGTGTATGTGGGTATATGTGCACACACGTGTGATTCCCCCCCCCCCAGCCATGATCACCCCCCTGTGGCACGTGTGTGTATGTGTCTGTGTGTGTGCAGGAGTCCTGTGCTATGTTCCCAGGTGCATCCCATGGGTGCACTGTGTGTCTGTGTACACCGGAACTCAAGGGGAGGGGCCCTGGGGCAGCCCCCAGGACAGCCCCTGGGGATGCCTGTTGGCCTCATTTAAATACGCTCACCAGACACCTTCCGGGCCCAGGTACTGGGCTGAGACTTCAGGGAACCGGGCAAACATGTCTTTCCTCCTACAGTTGACACTCTGCTGGCACAGGCAAACACTCATCAAGAATTTGAAAACTTGGTTAAATCGTCACAGTGACAGGGGCCAGAAAGGGTAGTGCCCAGTGCTCGGGGAGCAGCGTGGGAGGTAGTCCCGGAGGTCTTTCTGGAGGCAGTGACATTTGAGCGGAGCACTAGAGATGGGCGGGAGAGAGCAGGGGGAAGAGGGCAAGCGCGGGAGGACTGCCTTGCACGCAGCCGTGTGCTGCACACAGCGGGGTCTGCAGGCGCCCCGTGCTGGCCGGCTGTGGGCAGAGCTCCGAGCAGGAGGGGCTGTGTGCACGGTGGTGAGGGCAGGGAGCGAGCCCGCTGCCCTCTCTGCTCGTATAGGACCTGCAGCTGGGAAGGAATTGAATTTAGCACAGAGGTTAGCAAAGGAAAGGAAAGTTCCACATGCCGGCAGCCCTGTGGAACCTGCTCTCCGGCCTCGGCCCAGAAGTCTAGACTTGCAGGGGCGAATAAACATGGGAAGGAGAGATGGAGCTGTGGGGCCTGAAGGAATTTGCAGGAATATCTCCATGTGCGTCCAAAAAGACCCTTGTGGGGCTGGAGAGATAGCACAGCAGCGGGTAGGGCATTTGCCTTGCATGCGGCCGACCCGAGTTCGATTCCCAGCATCCCATATGGTCCCCTGAGCACCGCCAGGAGTAATTCCTGTGTGCAGAGCCAGGAGGAACCCCTGTGCATCGCCAGGTGTGACCCAAAAAGCAAAAAAAAAAAAAAAAAGACCCTTGTTTGGAGTCCTGGGGGAGAGCCTTAGTCTCCAGGTTGCACAGATATCTAATCCCTGACCTGAGGGTCCTGCTCCTTTCCAGGGGGTCTTCAGTTCCAAGCCCTCCTGCCTCTTGGCCACACCCTGGGCGTTCTGTCCCTGCCCCGCTAGTATGAGCAGTGTGGGCTTGTGCCCCACTGCCCCTTAGGGAGAGTGGAGTGGGGGGGAAGGACGTCTCCTAGGCTGTTTCTGATTTGGGGGCATCTTAAGAGACACCTCCTACCCCCACACTCAGTGACTCAGGAGTGGGGTGGTCCCAGCTGCCTTGTTAAGGAGGCAAGTGAGAGATGCCAAGATCCTGTTTTGGGTGGGGGAGGCTAGACGTCTCCGACGGTCCTCAGTTCCCCCCCCAGGCAGCGTTTCGACGGGAGGGCCCAAGGTTTGGTCCAGGGGGAGCACTGGAGGCCGGGCTCCAGGGGGTGGGGGGCAGCCAGGGTGACCATGACAGGCAGGCCCCGAGCCTGCTGGCTGGACGGTCGATGCAGGCTGGGTGGTGGGAGCGCCCTGTGGCTGCACCCAGGGCCTCCCGCTGGGCGCTGACTCCCCCTCCCCCCCCCCGCCCCCACGGCGCTGTCCCGCAGGTTCTCGCGCTCAGACGAGCTGTCCCGGCACCGGCGCTCGCACTCGGGCGTGAAACCCTACCAGTGCCTCGTGTGCGAGAAGAAGTTCGCGCGGAGCGACCACCTCTCCAAGCACATCAAGGTGCATCGCTTCCCGCGCAGCAGCCGGGCCGTGCGCGCCGTCAACTGAGCGCCCGCGCGCGTGCCCGCGCCAGCCCCGCCAGCCCCGCCCGCCCGACCCCCACCCCGCCCCGGTATTTTGTAGCAATAATTTATTTGCCTTCTTCAGAGGGTCTTGACGATGTTACCAGCCACCTTCTGAAGCCCGAGGTGCAGGAAGAGGAGGGGTGGGGGGTGGGGGGCTGGTCCGGGCAGGTGTGAACCCCGAGTTCTCCACCCCCCATCACCTCCATCACCCGCTGCCGCCGCCTCTCTGGAGACTTGGCGCCTGCTCCCACGTCCCTGGGGGCTGGGTCCCCAGGGTCCCCCTCCACCCCCATGGGCTGGAGGCTGGCCTTGGTGCCTTCCTGCCTTCGTGCCTTCCAGGCCTCTGCCGCCGCCGCCCGCTCCAGCGCCGTGGGGGGCCTGGCCCTTCTCCCACTGGGCTCCCCACCTGGGTCACTGGCCAGCACTTTATTGCTGGGGCGAAGAAATGCAGCGCAGTGTGGAAATGTCACTTCCCAGGGGGCGCCTGGGAGGGAGGGTGGGGGCGGGGTGGGGGGGGGACAGAGGCCAAGAGTCCTGGGCTGCTCTGGGTCAGGGGGCTTCTGTCTGGGTGCCTAGCTGGGGGCAGAGGGCCCAGGCTGGGCCTTTGGGTGCTGGGCCTCCCGGCCCCCTGTGGGAGAGGGGCCCAGGGCACCTGGGGAGGGGGGTGCGGTGCATGTGGGTATGTGTGCAGGGCAGACAGCCGCCCACTGGCCCCAGGGCCTCTGGGCATCATTGCCCCCCCTTCCGGACCCTAGCCTTTGGGGTCACCTCGGGGAGGAGGGGGACCAGACTGCATGGTGTGTGGAAGACGTAGATAGAGCCCCTGTCCTGATTTAGAAATGCATTCCTTATTTTGTCTAGAAATTAATATCAAATGAACTAGCTTGTGTTGACAGGTTTATTTCACATCCTATGAATGTATGTAAATAAACTGTACATAGGAACCTCAACGTAAAATATCTTTTAATAACAGATCCACATTTGTGTAAATTTGAAATTAAAAAAGAATCTACGGAACTGGTGTACATATGTTACAATTATGTATATTTTCTTCGGTCCTTCATAAAGAAATATATAAATATATATATATATATATTTACTTTGCCAATAAAAGAGAAAAGAAACTCAGTCACCGTCACGTGCTGCGTTCCTCGGCTCTGCCAGGAAATCAGAGCGACTGGAGGGAGCCGTGTTTGGGGGCCAGAGTTGGATGCCCGAGGGAGCCAGAGACTCCCCCCGGGCCCGGTGGGTGCCCACACGGCCCTGCCCACAGACCCCCCCAATCGAAGCCACTCCAGAGCCGCTTCTGGAAAGTCACCGTAGACCCCCTTGCCTGGAACCCCACGAGCCTCCAGCTGCTAGACTGTGCACACGGCACGCTGCCTCTGGCCGAGAGGGCTGGGAGCACTGGTCGGGCTGGGAGGTGGAGCTGCTGAACCGTTGCCACCAGCCCCTGTTGCTGTGCTGAACTTGGGGTTTCCATCATCAGGCACTGTTGAGGTCTGGCTCCATGCCCTCTTGGTGGGCGAGCTGGAGGGGCGGTATGGAATAGATACCCCAAGAGGGTGGGGGCAGTGGGGTGCCTGTCCACTTGGAGTGACAGCAAGACCTTCCCTCCCAGAGGTGCTTCTTTGCCGGGAGCTGGGAGGGTGCGTGGCGTGGGTGTGGGGAGGGGGGTCGGTCAGGGCTCCCAGGGGTTCCCCAGAGGCTGGAGGCCAGGAGCAGTCAGGGTCTTGCCGCTCAGGTTTCAGAGAGCGGGGTGGGGCCCGGGGGTGCGCGAGGGTGCACAGGCTCACGACTGCATGTCTGCTGCAGAGGAGTGTGCCAGTCCTCCCTCAGGCGGCCAGAGCATGCACAGTCCCTGGGCAGGGGAGAGGACTTGGCTGGTGACCTCTGTCCTTCGTCCCCGGTGGGACCCGCAGGTCAGTGTGCTCTGGGGAGAGGCATTGATTTCCATGTGCGTTTGTGCGGCTTTCCTCACCCAGCCGCACGCAGTGGGGAGGTAAGAGGCCCCAGGGTCAGGGCGACGGCAGTGCCTGGGATGAGCCAAGGCACATGCACCCCGGGCCAGCGTGTCCCCAGCAGCTTCCCTGCGCTGAGCCCGGCCCCCGTGACCCGGAAGCCGGGCCCTCGCTGAAGGAACCCAAATGGTCTCCCTGAGTCGGGGTTTCAGGCCTGAGGGTGGTTCTCACCTTCGCAGGCACCTTCCCTGGGGGCAGCTCCACTTGGTCTTGTGCCCGGAGGTGTGGACTGCAGAGGAGGGGCGGGCAGGCTGGGCAGGTGGGGAGAGGACAGCCTCTGGCACCGCTGACCCCAGCCTCTCTGACCCCAACTTCTGATCCCAGCCTTTGATCCCAGCCTCCCTGACTCCAGCCTCTGATCCCAGCCTCTGATCCCAGCCTCTGACCCCAGCCTCCCTGACCACAGCCTCCCTGATCCCAGCCTCTGACCCCAGCCTCCCTGACCACAGCCTCCCTGATCCTAGCCTCTGACCCCAGCCTCCCTGACCACAGCCTCCCTGATCCCAGCCTATGATCCCAGCCTCTGACCCCAGCCTCCCTGACCACAGCCTCCCTGATCCTAGCCTCTGATCCCAGCCTCTGATCCCAGCCTCCCTGACCACAGCCTCCCTGATCCTAGCCTCTGATCCCAGCCTCTGACCCCAGCCTCCCTGACCACAGCCTCCCTCATCCTAGCCTCTGATCCCAGCCTCTGACCCCAGCCTCCCTGACCACAGCCTCCCTCATCCTAGCCTCTGATCCCAGCCTCTGATCCCAGCCTCCCTGACCACAGCCTCCCTGATCCTAGCCTCTGATCCCAGCCTCTGATCCCAGCCTCCCTGACCACAGCCTCCCTGATCCTAGCCTCTGACCCCAGCCTCCCTGACCACAGCCTCCCTGATCCCAGCCTCTGATCCCAGCCTCTGATCCCAGCCTCTGACCCCAGCCTCCCTGACCACAGCCTCCCTGATCCTAGCCTCTGACCCCAGCCTCCCTGACCACAGCCTCCCTGATCCCAGCCTCTGATCCCAGCCTCTGACCCCAGCCTCCCTGACCACAGCCTCCCTGATCCTAGCCTCTGACCCCAGCCTCCCTGACCACAGCCTCCCTGATCCCAGCCTCTGATCCCAGCCTCTGACCCCAGCCTCCCTGATCACAGCCTCCCTGATCCTAGCCTCTGATCCCAGCCTCTGATCCCAGCCTCCCTGACCACAGCCTCCCTGATCCTAGCCTCTGATCCCAGCCTCTGATCCCAGCCACTGATCCCAGCCTCCCAGATCCCAGCCTCGGATCCCAACCTCTGACCCCGGCCTCCCTGACCCCAGCCTCCCTGATCCCAGCCTCTGATCCCAGCCTCCCTGATCCCAGCCTCCCAGATCTCACCCTCTGATCCCAGCCTCTTTCATCCCAGCCTCTCTGATCCCAGCTCCCCTGATCCCAGCCTCTGGATCCCAGCCTCAATGCATCTCTGCCTGTCCCTTCAGGTGAGGGTGTGCTGTGGGAAGCAGAGGGGCAAGAGAGGACTTGTGTGGCTCTGACAGGCGGTAAGGACCCCTCCGAGCAGAGGGTGGGGGCTGGGTTCTAGCTGTGCCCGAGTCCCCCCCAGGACCCTGGCGGGTTTTGGCAGCCTCCTTGACCCTGTGGGAGGTTCTGCGAGGCACCTGCTAGTGCCCATTTCTGCGGGTCCAGGCTGCCAGCTGTTGTCACTCTTGCATCTTCAGCTGGAGGAGTGTGCTGACCTGTGACCTGTGACCTGTGACCCGTGAAGGTGGCCGACCGAGTCTAGGGACCCCATGTATGACCAGGAGAAGAATTAGGGAAGTGGACAGCAGAAATGAGCTTTACCCATCCCCCGGCCCACTCAGCTCCGCATGGTAGTGGGGAGGAAGAGAGTGTCCTGTTGCACCAACAGGGACCCAGATTCTGGGGCTGAGACACGCGCCACTTCCTGCACCTCAGTTTCAGGAAAACAGCAGCGGGTGGTGGTGGCAGCTCCTCTGCCATTTCCCTCCGTGCCCCAGGCTCCTGTCCTGACAGCTCTCAGAGCACACACAGGGTCCTGGTTCCCTGCCCCCGGCCGGACAGGGCAGTGGCCGATACAGTCCCGAACTCCCCTGCCCTGGGCTGCGGGGTTGGCGGAAGCTGCAAAGTGTCACTTCATCTGTGAGCTCCAGGCCCAGGCCCAGCTCAGACCTGCTGATGGTGTGGCAGTTGCCCCAGGGGCCTGCAGGTACGCTGAGCCTGGAGCGGTGTGTGTGTGTGGAGGTGTGGGTGGGATGGGTACCCACATTCCAAGGCCCAGCAGTCGGACTTTGGGGCTTCCGGATCGTGTGGGGAGCCCTGGTGAGGTGGAGAGACCAGGAGGCTTTGGCCACTAAGATAAGGTTGCAAGGAGGGCAGGACCCACCCACTCCCATGGACAAAAGTCCCCAAACCCAGCCAGACCCTCCTAGTGTTTCCATTGTCTACTTCTCAGTGGGGCCCAGAATCCAAGCAAGTGTCCTGGGGTTAGGGGCACAGAAGATGACAGGCCAGGAATTTGGAGACTGGATCTTTCTCTTTCTTTCTTCGTTGCTTTCTCTCTTTCTTTCTTTCTTTCTTTCTTTCTTTCTTTCTTTCTTTCTTTCTCTCTCTCTCTCTCTTTCTCTCTCTTTCTCCCTCCTCCGCCTCCTCCTCTTCCTCCTGCTCCTCCTCCTCCTCCTCCTCCTCCTCCTCCTCCTCCTTCTTCTTCCTCCTCCTCCTCCTCCTCCTGTTACTCCTGGCTCTGCACTCAGGTATCACTCCCGACTTTGCTTGCGGGGACCATATGGGATGCTGGGGACTGAACCCAGATCTTCTGCATGTAAGGCAAGCACTCTCTCCATTGTGCTGTCTCCCCAGCCCCTAGATTGGAACTTTCTGATGTGGTTCAGCGGCTCAGACCTGGGCAGTGGAAGGTGGGATGGGGGTGGGGGAGTTGGGGGTAGGGCATGGCTGGGCATAGAAATGTTAACCTCCAAAGTTGTGGATGTGACCAAGGGTTTTGGATGTCACTGAGGGGACCTGTCCTCCTGCCCCTGCTGTGATGAGCACTGAGTCCAAACAGTTCTTGCTTTATCTGGGGAGACCACAGTGGGGTCCTGTGAAGGAGGCAGCTCAGGGAAGAGCTTTCAGAAGATGTCTGTGGACACCCCCGGTGCCCCCTGTCTCCACCTCAGTACCTCTGGGGTTCTCTGGGAAATTTCCTGATACCTTTCCCAGGCCACCAGACTGCCCAGTGGAATTAGGGTGGTGGAATGCAGGGAGGCGAGGGGTTGACGACCAGAAGACAGTAAGAAGTGCTCTGCGGAATTCAAACCC